CTGACTGGTGTGAGGTGGTATCTCCCTGAGGTTTTGATTTGGATTTCCCTGATGCCGAGCAATGTTGAGTACTTTTTCATGTGTCTGTTGGCCATTTGGATGTCTTCTTTGCAGAAATGTCTGTTCATGTCTTCTGCCCATTTCTTGATTGGGTTATTTGTTCTTTGGGTGTTGAGTTTGATAAGTTCTTCCAGCCCTTTATCTGATATGGCATTTGCAAATATCTTCTCCCATTCTGTCGGTTGTCTTTTGGTTTTGTGGACTGTTTCCTTTGCTGTGCAAAAGTCTTTTATCTTGATGAAGTCCCAGTAGTTCATTTTTGCCTTTGTTTCCCTTGCCTTTGGAGATATGTCTAGCAAGAAGTTACTGCGAATGAGGTGACAGAGGTTGCTGCCTGTGTCCTCCTCTAGGATTTTGATGGATTCCTGTCTCACGTTTAGGTCTTTCATCCATTTTGAGTTTATCTTTGTGTATAGTGTAAGAAAATGGTCCAGTTTCATTCTGCATGTAGCTATCCAATTTTCCCAACACCATTTATTGAAGAGACTTTTTCCATTGGTTATTTTTTCCTGCTTTGTCAAAGATTAGTTGACCATAGAGTTGAGGGTCCATTTCTGGACTCTCTATTCCGCTCCACTGATCTACGTGTCCGTTTTTGTGCCACTACCATACTTTCTTGATGACTACAGCTTTGTAATAGAGTTTGAAGTCTGGAATTGTGATGCTACCGGCTTTGGTTTTCTTTTTAACATTCCTTTGGCTATTATGGGTCTTTTCTCGTCCCATACAAATTTTAGGATTATTTGTCCAGCTCTGTGAAAAATGTCGATGGTATTTTGTTAGGGATTGTACTGGATGTATAGATTGCTCTAGGTAGCATAGACATTTTAACAATATTTGTTCTTCCAATCCATGAGCATGGAACGTTTTTCCATTTCTTTGTGTCTTCCTCAATTTCTTTCATAAGTATTCCATAGTTTTCTGAGTACAGATCCTTTGCCTCTTTGGTTAGGTTTATTCCTAGGTATCTTATGGCTTTTGGTGCAATTGTAAATGGGATCAACTCCTTAATTTCTCTCTTCTGTCTTATTGTTAGTGTATATTCATTTAAACTTTTGCCTAATAATTAATTTCTGCTAAGAAAGGGGAGAACAGTCAACCACTTTGGCAAAAAATTGGGGGTTTGTTCCCTGGAGAGGGTAAAATAGAGTCTCTGAACTGAAGAGTGCAGGTGAAAACAAGAGTACCCAAATGAAAACAACAGGAATCACATGACCACTTATATTCTAAATACTCATACTTCTTTCAAGCACCCAACACATTGGCAACTCAACTTTACACCATTTGTGTAAAGACTCTTTTCTGAAAAAACTGTTCTAAAAGGGATAGGCATCAGATGTTTCCCAGCCAAACAGCCCAGTCAGATCAGACTGACAACCCCTAACACTCCATGCAGAGTCTCCGGTAAGCATTTTAGTGATCCACTTAAATATAAGTGCATGGTCAAGGATCATCATGAAGAAAGTCTCTGATAGGAAGAATAAAAATTCTTCCTAAGTAAGACTAATAAAACAAGAAACTTGAATACAGATTATGCAATAAAACCTCAAAAAAATATCATTAATAGTCTCAAAGGAAAAATATATGCTTGAGGCAAGAATAGTATGATATTTCAAAAAGACAGAACAAAAAAGAGCTCTTGGAAATAAAGAGGATAGATGATAACAGGGGCGCGTGGCTGGCTTAGTCAATAGAGCATGCGACTCTTAATCTCGGGGTTGTAAGTACAAGTTGGGTGTAGAGATTATGTAAAAATAAAATCTGTACCTCTGAAACAAATAATGCAATATATGTTAAGAAAAAAAAAGAAGAAGATAGCAGGAGGGGAAGAATGAAGGGGGGAATCAGAGGGGGAGAAGAACCATGAGAGATGATGGACTCTGAAAAACAAACTGAGGGTTCTAGAGGGGAGGGGGGTGGGAGGATGGGTTAGCCTGGTGATGGGTATTAAGGAGGGCACGTTCTGCGTGGAGCACTGGGTGTTATGCACAAACAATGAATCATGGAACACTACATCAAAAACTAATGATGTAATGTATGGTGATTAACATAACAATAAAAATTTTAAAAAAGATAACAATATCCAATAATTATTAAACTAAAAAGCTATTAAATATTGAATATCTTATTGAACATTGTTTGGAAGAAAAGTAAAAGGAAAATGAATATTTATTTACATTCATATTTAAATTTACATAAATATTTACAATATTTACATTCATACAGAGGAATATTATTCACTGCTGAAAACTGAAAAGAAATGAGCTATCAAGCCATGAAAAGACCTGGAGGAACTATAAATGCATCTGAAAGAAAGTGATAGACGTCAATCTGAAAAGGCTATATACTTCCCGATTCCAACTACATGACATTCCGAAAAAGGCAAAACAATGCTGACAGTTAAAAGATCAGCAGTTGCCAGGGGTTGGTGAGAGGGAAGGATAAATAAGTGGAGCAGAGAGGATTTTCGTCAGTGAAACAATTCTATAAATACTATAAAGATGCATACATGTCTTATATATTTGTCAAAACCCACAGAATGTACAATACCAAGAGTGTCTAAGGATAAAGACTCAGGATGTCCACTACTTACCATAGAATGGTTCCTACAGAGTAATATGAATAATATGTATGCATGTGTATGATATATACCTGTGTATGTTTATGTATCTATATTATATACACATACAAAAATATTAAAAGAATGATGAAAAGGTGGCAAAATATTAATTGATGAATTAAGTGAAGGGCATAAAGGAATTCAGTATACTATTCTTCTGACTTTTCTAGACGTGTAACTTTTTTTTTTAAACACAAGGGCCAAAAAGTGTGACTTCCATTTTTTTTCTTCAACATACCTATATAAAATTGATTTTTAACAATGACTTTGATTAAAAACAACAAACAGACAAATGGGGCATGTAACCACAACCACCACCCTCAGCTACACTGGTTCTTTGGCATTTTCTCAAATCTCTCTGCAGTGTCCTGCCCAGGGCCGCTGCATATGCTGGTCCTTCATCCTTAGCATCTTGCCCCCCACTCTGCCTAGTTAACTCTTCTCCTTCCTTTACAGTTCAACTTGATCTCTCCAACCAAGTCAACTCCTTGGTCTCATGGCATCATATACCTCTTCTCACAGCTATAATTTTGCATTTATTTGTATTTTTCTCTACTAAATGTCTACCTCACTCACTAGGCAATAAGCTAGGCAGGAGCCATGTCTGGTTTTGCTCACCATTTTAACCCCAACACTTATCACAATGCCTGGCACAAAGGAGCTTAAAAAAAAAAAAAAAATAGAAAAGGAATACATCTCCAGAAGGGAGAGAAAGGGAAGAAATAAACATTTAACATGTATATAAACAGCTGGATAGGCCTCTTTGCTGTTCCTTGAACATGCCCAGGCATATTCCCACCTCAGGGCCCTTGCATTGGCTGTTCCCTTTGCCTCGTAATCCCTTCCCACAAAAATTCCCATTGCCAAGAACTCTTTCACCCCAAACCCTATACAATCCTTAACTACATCTCTTTTTTATTTTTCTCTGTAGTACTTATGACCTAAAATACCAAATATCTTATTTATTAGAGTATTATCTGTCTCTTCTCACTAGATTAATGCCATAAAAGCAGAGATTTCCCTCAGAATGTTTAGAATAATGTCCAGTACATAGTAAAAATTCAAATATTTGTTAAAAGAATAACTATGCAAGATAGAATTTTATCAAAATCTATGTTCAAACTTTATTTTAATATATACTGTTTTAAACACACAACACTGCCAACTGCCATGTGTAGTAAAAACTAACTCTTATTTTAAGAGTTTACAATTCCAAATTTTTAGGCATTAAAATTCTCCTCCTTTTTCAAAATGATGGTTCTAGTAACTATTTTTTCTCAATGGCCTTGTTTGCCAAAATGAGAAATGTTCAAATCTGTCAATGTCTAATATTTTTTTTGGAAATTTTATTGGTGTATGAAATCTAAAAATCTGGGAACTATTAAAAAAATAAAATAAAAATCTGGGAACTATTGACATATAGGATTAAAATAATTCATCAGAATGTCATTTCACTATCTAGCCCAATAGACCCACTGAAACTATTCCACACTTCAAATATCTTCTCTGGTCAAGACAATCTCCTTTACTATCTTCAAACCATCAAGACTTTGATCCCCTTGGATGCTTCTTAACTGATTTTTCCCTTCCCTCATCCCTTCTTTAAAACATGCCCATCCAAAGAGTTCCCCTCCTTTAAGTATACTACCTGAAATCCAATATGTTGAAGTCATTTTCTTACCATTCCAGCCTATATTCATCCTTTTCTCATCTAAACACCTCAAGCCCTTTATGTATAGCTCATTCCAAAAGCTAGTTTGGTCCAAGCCAACTACATAAGGATCAGATTAAGAAAAGATTTTAAAAAGACAATTTCCAGAGTCTCAGTGCAGATTAGGAGAATCAGAATTTCCAAGACCGAAGCACAGAAGCCAGTATTGTTTAAAAAAACCCTCCCAAGAGATTCTGATTCATAGCCTGGCTTAGGAATAATCAATCTATACCAGAGTTTGAAATTAGTCATAAAATACTTTGATTATATTAAAATAAACATTATTTATGTGTGCCTTCTAGAACTTTTTAAAGAAATCATAAATAAAAATATTTTTAACCTTAATAACAGTTGCATGTTTAAGACTTCAAATTAAACATGGAATGTGTATGTCCTACATTATATTATCCGTATGAAGACCTTAATTTTGAAGCAAATCATTTCAAATCCAATTGTAATATTCTGACATAGACATGCAGAGGCATTTTTGAAAATGGTGTATTGATATTATCATAGGAGGGCATATATTGCAAAAAAATAAATATAATTAAAGTAAGCAGCTACCAAAACTCACTTAAAAAAAAGTAAACCTAAATATAGTCTACTAACCTGTTTGTTGTTCTCTGCCATGGAAAGCTGCAATGCCAGGAGCATGGAGTCTGCACCACATACAGTAGTTCTCTCAGAGTTACAAAGAGTGTGCCAATTCCTCCTGAACTCTTTAATCATATCCAAGATAGACTTCTGATTAAGCTCAGCCATCCTCTGAAAGTAGGACAAAATGCAATGTTAAAAACCTTATTTTAATTGGAAACTAATATTTAACATGTGTAAGGGAGCAGAGTTAGAGAAAAATAAGTAGTGAACGAGAGGTCATTTCATATTTACTAAGATTCCTTTTAATTAAATTTAGGAAAACAGAACAATGCAATTTCTGCCCAATCATATATTCCTCTCCTTTATTTTTCTTAAGCCAAATCTTTTGAAATAACAAAATCCAACCTTCAATCTGAAAATGCATACAAAACAGATATGCAAATTCTATAAACTTATATCTATAGACACAGACATAGCTAATTAAAGTTGTATTTTCAAAATATTTGTTTTGAGATAGATGGTAATATGTGTGGTAGACTGCCAAAAAAAAGGGGGGGTGCCAATTTCCTCCTATCCCTATACTGTCTCAAAAGAAGTGGTTTATTTTTCCACCCTTTAAATATGGATTAGTCTGGTAACTTGATTTGACCAACTGATATGGAAGAATGACATCATGGGGGTTTCAAGCCTAGAGCTCAAAAGGCTCACAAGAAGAGTTAAAGCAGCAGGCCTGATGTCTATCTTTTGAAAGGACTGCTTACATGGTTGACCCTTGGCTGCACCTGGAAACTTAGAATTCAGGAGATTTTCCAGTAAGAGTGGCTCACTGTAGCTAACCTGTTTATACAAATAATATAGTTTATGCTGAACACATGCTTTTCTTCTGAGTCTGGAATTTTGTAATATAGATTGAGGATGCCTACATCAGTACCCTGGACACTGAGTCTCTAAAGAGCTTCCCTGACAGACAACATTTCATATAACTTGTCACAATTTGTTGTTGGAGGATTTAGGCATGTCCTGTGTGACTCCACTAAGAGAGGACTTTTGGAAGTTTATGCCTGATCTCCCCAGGACTTTACCCCATGCACCTTCTCCCCATATAGCTTGTCTCTTTGCTGATTTTGTTCAGCATCTTTACAATCTAGTAAATAGCTAAAAGTTATATTTCTCTTCAAAATATCACCCTCATTTCTTAAAAGAAAAAAAAAGTGAAGAAGTAATGCTTCAGTGATATGATCAGTTTGCCTGAAAAAAATCTTTAGTACTAAATTATTTAGGGTACTCTTTACAAGTATTAAGAGTTCTGGAGTGCATGGGTGGCTCAGTTAAGTGACCCACTCTTGATTTCAGCTCAGCTCATGATCTCAGGGTCCTAAGATCCAGCCCCACCCAGAGCTCCAAATCACATAGTCTGACTTTAGATTCTCTCTCTCCCTTCCCCTCTGCCCCTCTTCCATGCTCACATGTGCACCCACCCTCTCTCTCTTTCTCTCTAAATAATAAATAAATAAAATCTTTTAAAAAATTAAAAGTAATATGAGTTCAGATTGCTAAGAATGAAAACTAGTCAAGAATTAGACTGTTCTGAATCGTGGCTGCACCACTTACTAGCTGTGAGATCTATAACAAGTTATGTCACCTTCCCTGCATCAGCTTCCTTGTACTGAAAACAAAAATAATAATAGTTCCTATCTCACAGGGTTTTGTGAAAAGTAAATGACATAAATACAAGTTTAGCTTTTAGCACAGTGTCTGACACATAAAAAAGCCAACAGTCTCAGGGCGCCTGGGTGGCTCAGGTCATAATCTCAGGGTCCTGGGATCAAGCCCCACATCATCGGGCTTCCTCCTCAGCGGGAAGTCTGCTTCTCTCTCTCTCTCCCTCTGCCCCTCCCCACTGCTCGTTCTCTCTCTCTCTCATATAAATAAATGAAATCTTAAAAAAAAATAAAGCCAACAGTCTCATCCAAGTGTCAGCACACTTGTTGGAAAGGGCCAAATAGTAAATATTTAAGGAGTGCAAAGCATACAGTCTCTGTCACAACTATTCAACTTGACCTTGCTGTGTGAAAATAGCCACAGACAACACATAAACATATGAGCATAGCTGTGCTTCAACAAAACTTTATGGAAACTGAAATTAACTTTTATATAATTTTCACAGGTCACAAAATATTATCCTTTTGTTTTTGTTTCAAGTATTCAAACATGTAAAATCTATTCTTAGCTCAGGAACTGGCTACACAAAACCAAGTAGTGTCCTAGTTTGCCAACTCTGGTCTAGTCTCAGCTCTTTCAGCAGCCAGCTGGCTGTATAAGCCTAGGCAATAAGCATTACAACTGACTGCCTAGGTGAAAGTATCATCATATAGAAAATAGGAATATCTTCTAGCCAGTTATGAGAAATCAATGAGATAATGAAGATGCAAGCACTCCCAATGTCAGGCTGCCCTATACAAAAAGAGTAGAAGGTGGCAATGATAATAAATACTTGTTAAAAAAAAAAAAAAAACTGGATTCCAAACTGCACTGGAGCAAAAATTGTGAGACAGGAAATTATCACTGGAGAGTGTGAGATGGTAAAAGAATTTTTGAGCCAGATATTCAGGGCCCACATCCTGGCACCCAATTTATAAGATGTATGCCCTTCAGTATTTAAAATCTCTGATGAACATAAATTTCCTTAAATATAAAAGATATCTTACCTCATAAAACTATCAGACACAAGTAAAAATCCACCTAGTGCCATTCACTTAATAGGTGCTCAATTTAAAAAAAAAGGCAGTCGGTGCTATCATCGTCAGAGTGCAGATTCTAAACATTCTTCGGGAGAATATAACAGGGAGAGGGCGAAAGTAGTGGAACTGGAGTCTGCGCGTCTTGGAATTAGAACCCTGATCTCCTGCCAACGCAATGAACCTAAGTAGGTCTCTACGGGCCCCAGGTTTCCAGTGCGCAGATGATTCCTCAGGACCTTCTAGCTCTATTCATCACTAGATATTGTGAATTCTTCAACACCCCCAAACCCAACCAGACTCCAGAGCAAAACCACTAGACAGTCACGTAGTTGTCACCGAAAATCTCTCACCAGCCCCGGCCTGAATCACAAATTAAAGTGTAACAGGCGGGCAAGCAAGAGATGAGACTCACCTCACTCGGGATAGACCTAGTAGGTGCAGACTGGACTGAAGAATCGTCCTACCGGGCTGCAGTCTAGAAGCTGTAAGAGTCCGTCGTGAGTTATATTTTAAATCTCCCGGGAAGGCTCGCGAGCCAATCGCCTCTTCCGCCCTCTGACCCGGAAGCAGAGTCGGCGCGCGCCGCGGTCCGCGCCCGCGGAGACCGGCTTCCTTCTCGCCACTTCCCGACGCCCCCGGTGCGTACCGCGCGGGAACCTAAGGGTTCGCGCCGCTTTGCTGCTGGCCGCCCAGGGATCCCTTCCTATTCTTGCGAGTTCCTTCTTTCCTGCGCCGTACCCCACCTCTTTTCCCTCTGACCTCGGGCTTCGGGAGGTGGTAGCGGGGTCTCGCGGGACTTACCTCTCTGGGAGAGGCGTTGCGGCGCTTTGCGGGCACTTCAGTTGTTTCCTCCCTGTTCTGCCCTTCCAGTTTTAGAGGGCAAGTCCAGCCCACCGTGTGCAGTGAAACCCTGAAAATGTAGTGAGACTGGGCAGTTTAACAAGCAATAAGGGGACCGAGTTTCCTGACCTTGCATCTTTTCCACTTCCCACACCACTGTGCCTCTAAGGGCATCCACCTGCTGGTCACCCTTAACAGATGTCCAGTCCTGGATTCCCACTCGTATGGCTACTAGTTTATAGGCTCCCTCAGGTGGGATTCAACTGATTCTCCGTAAATACTTATCAGGTCTTGATGTGTTAGTTAACTGAGCCCAGCTATTCTCAGGACAACTGCATACAATTAAGGGGGGGTGGGGGGGAAGACCTCTTTAGATCCCTAAGTCTCATCTGGGAATGCTACTTCCAGAGTGCACACCAGGCCATAACAGGTTGGTTGAAGTTTTGTGCCTGGTTTTATGAATATCATTTTTATATCACGCATTTTGGCGCTCCTTTCTCCAGATCTTATATTTTGGATCTGCTTATGTTATTGTGCTTTTCACACTGAATCATAACTATTACCGGATATTGTGATCTTCAAGGCGGAGGGCTGTTTTTCTTCTCTAGCACTGGTGTCCAACACATAGTAAAGTATTTCAAATGCTGTCTCTTCTTACGAGCTTGGCAGCTAACTAACCTATTAAAGCCTCGATTTCCTCTTCTGTAAAATGAGAGCCATTTGCCTCCGCTTAGGTTTGCAAGTATTAGGTGTCAGTGCTCTGTAAATGTTAACTATCATTAATTTTTTATGAGTATATTTACTAAAGTGATTACATCTTCAAGGACTATCTTTTAGTTAATCTAAACAGGATATTATGATTTATTCTACAGGTATTATTCATAAAGTATTTAAAGAAGTACTTGATTTTTTTTTTAGCTGTCTCTGGCATATGAAATACCATGTCCTTATTTTCATTCATTTGCTGAAAGTGACTGACACTTTGATGGTTTCTGTCTAACTATGTATGTGCTGTAATCCACAGTTCCGTGACCTTGTCCGGTAGAAGGCTATTTTATTTTTACAACTGCTCAAGTATTGACATACAAGATGAAGCAAGATGCCACAAGAAATGCTGCCTACACTGTGGATTGTGAAGATTATGTGCATGTGGTAGAATTTAATCCCTTTGACAGTGGGGATTCAGGAAACCTAATTGCCTATGGTGGCGGTAATTATGTGGTGGTTGGCATGTGTACATTTCAGGTTAGTGTACAAAACTCAGTGAATGACAGTGAAGCTATTTCACTGGTTAAAAAGACAAACCTTGGTAAACTGGCTAAACCTGGAAAGCATATTGAGTTTGAATGTAAGAAAAAAATGATGTGAACTACAGAGGAAGATATTTCCAGTAATATATGCCTGAGATTTGTGCAAACATTAAATAGGTAGTGAAAAAAAAAGACTATGAGGCTTCTCTTTTGCCTCGTGATTAGAAATGGAATATTCTGGTAATTGAAGGTTGTGACTAACTGAACATTTGGTATGTACAGAGAAAACAAATGAGACCTAAGTAATTACTTAATCCAGTTTTTCTACATTCCACTGTGATATAGGAAACAAGCCTAAAAAATAATCCTCCAGGAGATTTTACAGCTGTCATGATATTCAGGTTTTGTATTAGTATGCTCTCATACTTTTTATACATCTAAAGCATACATCCAGAGTATACAAAGTATGGGACCCTATTAATTGAACAGGCAATTTAGCATAGTCATTAAGACAGTGAACTCTGGAGCCCAAAATGCCAGGGTTTTTACTCCTGCCTGGCTTTACCTGTTAATAGCTATATGACCTCGAACAGGTACTTAACCTCTCTTCTATAAAAATGAGGAAAATAATACTTAATAGGGTCTTATGAGAATGTAATTAGTACATCATGTGAAGTTCCTGGAAGGCATCTGGCATGTTTTATATATATATATGTTTTAACTGTCATTAATTTAGTCAGTGTTTCCCCCCAGCACTGGCCCATATATAATCACCAAAGCAAGATTGCTTTGTGGTGAGGACACACCATGTTTTCTCACAGGAAAGCTAGTTCCACATGTGAAAGAGTGTAAACAATGCAGAAATCTTGGCTAATCCTTTGTTTACCAGAATATTATTCATAAAACAATATTTCTCAAGATTAATCAGGTAATTTGGCAGTGATCAGTTTTCAAAGATTTAAAGTAACTTTACCACTAATGTGGTACTATTATAAACATTATTATTTCCTCTTTTACTCAGGCAGTTCAGTATTTTATTTTGGTGTTTTGACATAAATGCAGTTTAGCATTTTACAGTGCATTAAATAAAGTTAAACAAAATTAGACTGCATGCATATTTATCCTAAGGAGAAAGTATGAAAGGCTTTGGTTTTTTGGTGTCTGAGTAGAATACAAGAGCTCTTACATTGCCCCACGTTGTCTGTTAGGGTTGGAGTAAGAATTGCTAGCTTTCAGGCTAAGTGACCCATAGCCTGATGTTAGCTGGACTACTTGGTTAGGATCATAAAAAGTCCACATGATTAGGAGAAATAATATAACACACTCTTAAAAAAGAATGAGGGAAAACTATTTTTCTGGTGCAGGCTACTAACCCACAAAAGAATAAAGCAACTCCCTACAGCTGACACTAACTCTACTTCATTACTTTTAAAATTAGTAACTGAACACAGAATTGTGTTAAAAAATACTGAAAAAATATGTTTTATCTCTAATTTATGTTCAGCTAAGAAATGAGAAAGTCAAGAAGGGAGAAAAAAATCAGGAAAAAAGAAAGCCAGAGGTGATGAGTGGCAGAGAGAAAAAGAAGAAAGAACTAGCAAAAAACATTTGTATTGCTCTGTCATGTCATGTACATTGTCCTTGTTGATCCTCAGACCTGTCACATTGGCAGTCTAGGTCTTACAGCCAAACTACATAAAGAATTGGATTTTATTAACTTGGCACGTTTCTGTGCCAAGTACTGGCAATAAAATTAAGCAACTGTCCCCATCCTCATAGAGTTTGTGTTGTACTTCAAGGAAGTTCAGGGATGTGTGAGACTAGTAAAGGAAAAAACAAGCTGTAGACCCCGTTTCTAAACCCCTGTTCTTTTCCTTTGATGCTGCTCTTCAGATAGGTTGAAACCATAGTTCAAACAGTTCTGGAGGAGAATCAAGTCATAATGGGATTCATGATAAATTAATTTGCCCTTGGGGATTCATAATAAATTATCACTTCCCTTTAAAATGATTTTGTTATCTAATTAAACACTATTAAACATTGTTTCTCTTCTCTCATGTTAGAATCTTCAAGTTCCATAGCATCCAATTTCATGCTTCTCTCTTGTCTGAGAAAAAACAAAGTAAAGGTAAATTGAATTGAAAGTTTTCCACATTCCTGTTGGAAAGGCAATCCTCATTCTAAGACTCAGGAAAACACTGTCAATACAGAAGATTTAAATTTCACCAAAGCATTTTTCAGAATAATTCTATGGTGTTCTTGTGAATATGATGGAAATTTGAACTGAATGATAGTACTATTAATTGGTATCATGTATTTGTCAAGTATTAAGTGCAAATCAGGTGCTGGGAACTGGTAATACCTATGTTAAAAAAGCAAAGACCCTGACCTCAAGATGTTTAAGTGTAAAACAATGCAGTAAGAAAACTGCTATAAGAAGTCCTATGTGCAAAGGGTAGAGGGAACATGAAAGTTTCTAAGTCTATTCAAAGGATCACCAATAATGAATTGGGGACTTGAATTTCGAGAACATTTGATTTAAGCAAGCACATTAAATTTATATAGAACATGAAGCTGAGAAGGATACCTAATGCTTTGGATGATAAACTTTACGTAACAAGTATTCATTGAGCACCTGTTGTATGCCAGACACTGTGCTTAGAATTCAAGTATTTAATAGATTGGATTAATGTGCCAAGTTAAATAAGCTAAAATTTAATAAAGTCTTAAAATGATACACTACTGAAGCTAGAAGAGACAATTGTGACTTACAGTTTTTAGTCACCTGGTTGTTCACCATGAATCAGTTTAATGATTAAACTGCCAAAAGGAGTTAATTCAATGCTGTCTGATAGAAATACAATGTGAGCCCAAATATAAATTTAAGTGTTACAGTAACCACATTATGAGAAGTAAAAACCAGATGAAATTAATTTTAATGTATTATTTTACCCAGTGTATCCAAAATATTTCATGTGTAACCAACAAAAAATGAATGAGATTTTTATATACTTTTTATACTAAGTCTGAAATCTGGTATGGATTTTGCACTTTATAAAGTATACACAGTTGGAACTAGCTGTATTTCAAGTGCTTAATCATCCCATGTGGCTAGTGGCTACCATATTGGACAGCATAGCTCTGTATCCTTTAATCTTCATTTCTCAGCAGTGTATGTTATGATGCAAATGCGATAATGTATTTGAAGACATTTCAGAATGGTATTAAAATGTTTAAAACTGTCATGTGAAAGAGGGATTAGACTCAGAATGGTAAATGTATTTTGTGTTATTTGTCAAGTCTGTCTGAGTGAATTTGTGGCCTGTAGTGCTTTAACACTGACGCTGAATCTTCTTTTGAGTGTGTTCACCTAAGATCAGCTGTGGCCAAATACTTGCCGTCACTGAAGTAGACTTCATCTATATGGTTCCAGGGAGCAGAATTTGGAGCAATGAGTAGAATTTACATGAAAACAGGTTTGGGT